GAGGCCAAGTTTTCTTTAAAAACATCACATCTTATCAAAATTTCACTTTAATCACATGAAACTATGTACATGTAAATACATTTAGACTATGTATATGATATTGTAATTTAAAGGTATACTTTTAATTGTGCTAGCTGTTTCTTTCTCAAATATTTACATTACATTCAATAACATATGAGAGTTATGATTTACGAGTAACATTAGTACAAAAACAATACTAAGGATGCTGTATGGCGTGATATGGGGCAAGGTCAATGGGAGGGTGACACCATGAGTTACTGCACCAGGTGACACTAACTGTACTGGCAAAGGGTTGAAATAGATAGCCCTTGGAGTCTCTTTCTACTCTGTGATTCTATGTATATAGGCAATCTCAAATTAAATACTTGGCTTTCTATTACCAAAGATGTGAAAGATCCATGTGGCTCTCTAGAAAAACACTGCCAGTGCCAACAGTCAACACTAGGTTAAATTGATTAATGGGATGATATGATATAAAATAGCTTTATAAATTAATCGTAGTTTCCCCCCCAAAATATTCATCTTTCCTCATAGCTTGACTATCCACCAGGCTTTAAGAAAATCTGCATCTAATTGTTCTATTTTAAAGACATTTTCTGATGTTACACAGTAAAGTATAGATTTTATTCTGCATTTTAAAAGATACAATGGAGGGATTAGGGAAAGGTATGAATTGGCCATCATACAGCATAGAGGAATGGAGCTTGAGTTGAAGCCAGTGCAGAATTTGATACATCTACTCAAAAACAACAGGAGCATTTAGATCATAATACACCATAACGCCATACTGCCCTATTAATATCTTCTATACTCAGTTTGTTTTCTCCTATATTACTCTTGTTACATCTCATTTTGAATCTGAGTAAGTCATCACATACTGTTATATGAAACACACAAAACACAAATGAAAGCAAAGGCAATCATGGAATTTCCAGCTTTAACAAGCTACTTTTCAGGTCATAAAATATAGATTGAACTAGACTGAATTCATATTATACTGTGTCCAGGGAATTAATAATAAGGGAATTTAAATTAGTCAGTCAGCGATTCCCTGATGTCTGTCCTGAACAAAGAAGTTTAGAAAGCCAAGGTTTCTTCTTAGAAATATATTCTGGATTATGTCCAGAGATTTGAATAATCCACTGATACAGCTCATATCCATGTGAAGGTATCTATGTATCTTAAAGCCCATCAACATACTAAATAATTTATTAAGGAACATGTTTTTGCTTATTCTTACTCATATCCACTTTGTCATACTCAAATTCTAATTCTCCTCAAACAGAAGATCTCGCAGGATCTCGCAGGAATGCCTGTGTATAGGGCCTCAGAATATTGTCTTTTTTTATTCTACAACATGGTGGCTGTTCTTCAACAGCCATCTTGGCCTACAACTTCCTTCATGCCCAGGCTCAGAAGTAATGTGAGCTGTAGTCAAATACATCTGGTAAACATCAAACTGAGGAAGAGTTATTTATAACTTCCCAAATGTTGTCAGACCATACTCCCATCATCTTTCAGCACTGGCAATGCTGGCAAAATCCCATGAGATTAAAAATTCAACAATATCTGGAGAACCACAAGTTTTCCATTCCTGGGTTGCAGCAGGGCTGGAAAACTGCAGCTATCTAGAGGTTTCTGAGTTGCAGTTCCAATAGCCCATCACCACTGGTAAGTTGGCAAAAGTTGTCAAATACTCCCAAAGAGCCATACGTTTCCATCCCAATCTACAAGCTATATTGATTCCCTGTAACATTATATTACATTATAAACTATAGCAGAATGTGCAGAGTCTTTCCTATATTGTTTCATCTGAATCTGGAAGACTAAAGCTCCTATCATCTCAAATCTGCATGAATAATCTAGATCTGACTGGGAACAGAGATGTAATTTCTCACTAAGTTTCATCTCAAAGGAAGAAACATGTAATATTAGAAAACTGTGAGAAAGTCTTCCAAAACCACATTGAAAAAGCTGTTTTCTGAAGTTAAATCAATATGTACATTTTGCACAAAACAAGGTTCTAATTACAGTCTTTTTTTGAACATGGGACAGCATTTTCTGCACAGAAGAGAGTTAAAAATACTGTTAAATAATGTTAAAAATACTGTTTCCTGTACAGAAAAAAACTCTTTTATGCATAAAACAACCACATACAAATGTTATGCAGAACTACAACATTTTCTGTCAATCCAGGATTCTTTTCAACAATTTCTCAACATGTGGAAAAACTAGAAGTTTTTTTAAACCATTTTTTTCAAAAAAAATTGAATATTCTTTTCATCATAGCTGGAAAACATGTCCTAAACAAACATAGTTTTCTACTCTCATGATACTATTTCAGTTAGATACTGGAAGGCATAATGTAGAAGGTTAACGGCAGTGTATTCCAGGCAAGAAGTGGAATAAATCTTCCTGTCCGCAGCCGCAGCAC